TCATCATAAAATTCACGAGAATAGCTGCAGATTTTTACTTTTAATGCGTGTATAAAAATTTAAATTAGTTTATCTCCCTCATACTAACTTCAACTTTAATTATTCTTTTTTATAAAATTTTCTAAACTCATGATCTATCCATTTATTGTGCTATTACAACTATTATTTTTGTCATACTTTCATGTGACTTTGTTTTATCAATTGAAGATTTAAATTTCAAAAAGTGGCAACTTCAAACAACATTTTGAAGCAGTAAATGATTGCAAAACAAATCAAACCCAAAAGACAAATTTTTTTTGAACTAAATTATTTTGTTACTAATTTGTTACTTGTATATGTTGCATATGGTAAAACTGAAAATATTTGCATATATATAGTGTGCGAACAAAAAATATTTGGAGCTTGTAGGAATTTAACCTAACACCTATAGTTATCCAGCAACATTCATAGCTACTTCTTTTAGTTGATTATGTATGCACTCACTTATACTTTTCACTACAGGAAATATATTAAAAGTTAAAGCAATTTAATCAAGTGAATTAATGAGGAAACTAAATTTTTCCTTTAAAAATCATGGCCGGAAATATTTTTGTAAAATTCTAAGTGGTCTAAATTATTCTCTAAAATTTTCCGTGAATTTTCGGAGCTCAATAAATAGTTTTAATACCACAAAGTTCATTTAACCTATTAAAATAAATGGAAAATAAATTAAAATATCTCTCTGTCCTTGGGCCTTTTTTGGCCCAAGTGTTACTCTCTCCCTCCCTCAGCCCGCAGCCTTTCTCTCCGTCCTGGGCCGGCTTCCCATTCCCCTCCTTCTTCTTCGGGCTGCCAGCCTAGCCCATTTGCTCCCCCCTCGCCGAGAAGTCCATTTTGCCTCCCTCTTCTCAATTAATTTCAAAATATAAAAAATCCGAGTCAAATTTTATCATACTAAATAAACTTATGTGAAAAAGTTATCAAAAACAAAGTTGTATAACTTAATTAGATCTATCAATTTTATTTTGGTTATTTCTCCATCTGACTTTGATTGACCTATATAAAATTTGAATTTTAAATATAAGAAAAATCAAATAATTTTTCTGGTAGTAAATAATTTGAAATGAAAAAAAAATGTCAACAACAAAGTTGTATGACTTATCAAGATCTACAACTTTTGTTTTGGTCATTTTGCTATACGACTTCATTTCAATAATTTGAATTTGAATTTCAAATTATGACAACTTCAAACAGCAGTTTCAAATACTAAATGATTTCAACTGAAAAAGTAATCAATAACAAAGTTGTATAAATCATCAATATCTATAACTTTTATTTTGGTCATTTCTTCATCCGACAAAGTAATAATAACATTATTTATAAAATTTACATATCTCTCTCATAGTTTATAAACTGTATAAGAGATATGTACATTTTGTGAATAATGTTACAATTCGCTTTAACGGATGAAGAAATGACCCAAATAAAAGTTATAGATCTTGATGAGTTATACCACTTTGTTATTGATGACTTTTTTAGTTGAAATCATTTAGTATTTGAAAATGTTGTTTGAAATTGTCATAATTTGAAATTCAAATTCATATTGTTCAAACCAAGTCATATAGAAAAATGACCAAAACAAAAGTTGTAAATATTGATGAGTTGTACAACTTTATTGTTGATGACTTTTTCAGTTGAAATCATTTATTATTTGAAAATATTGTTTGAAGTTGTCATAATTTGAAATTCAAATTCAAATTTTTGATACAAAGTCATATAGCAAAATGACCAAAACAAAAGTTGTAGATCTCATTAAGTTATATAACTTTGTTTTTGACATCTTTTTCACATAAATTTATTTAGTATGATAAAATTCGATTTGAAGTTTTAATATTTTGAAATTAATTGAGAGGAGGGAGGAAAAACAGACGCTGGGCCGGCGGCCCGAAGGAGCAGCGGGCGCCAAACTTTCAGTGTGGCGGGATGTTGATCAAAATTTCAACGTGAAATGACCATTTTGTCCAGATATTTTAGTGGTAACTTCGGATGCACCATGGGTATTTTAGTAAAATCGCATTGGTTCCTCAACCCTAGCCGATCCAAATCAGATAAGCCGCCACCACACGCGAGGCGCTACTGCAGATGAGACCGCCGGCCTCTGTCTCCGCCGCTGCTGGGCGCCGGCCTCCGTCTCCGCCGCCGCCGGGCGCCGCTCACCGCGCCGGCTTCCTCCCCCTTCGCCGCTTGCCGTGCCGGCATCCGTCTCCACCGCTGCCAGGCGCGGGAGCGGTGGATCCGCTGCCGCCGGCGCCTCTCGGGCCCGGAGGGGGCGTGCAGCGCAGCATCCGGGGCAGCCACCGGTGACGTGAATCGAGGTGGAAGAAGCACCGGCGAGGGAGAGCTCCGACGAGTCCTCCTCCTCCTCCTTCTCCGGCAGCAGGTCAGGGCGCAGATCCCCTCCCAGTAGCGCGCCTGCTTCCTACATCTCGCGAGCTCCGTCCATCGAGAGGCTGCTCGAGGAGGACGACGCACTGCTGCACGCGTGAGCATAGGGAGCACGGCAGGCGATCATGGTGGGCGAGGACGGTTTGACACGGATGAAAAAGAAGAGGAGAGGCGCCAGTCTTTCTATCTTTGTTTCTTGCATTAGTTTTCTTGGCGAGTTTTGACGCATGTGCCTCACCCATGTGCAGGAGGGCGGAGGCGGGATCTGCTACTGTGAGAGGGACTGGTGATTGGTGAAGCGCCCCAACTTCGACTGCGAGCGACCGCATCCCAACTGTAACCAATCTCTCTCTATCCGCTGATGCTAGTTGCTTATCAAAGTTCCTGAATCTGATGAATGCAGAAACCTCTAATTTAGTTAAGCAAGTCAATTCATGCTGTAACAATATGATCTCTGACAAAAAACTGAATTCCTTGTTTCTGCAAATGCAAGTGCAGTCATAAATAAGAAAGAATATTCGTGAAAGTTTCATAGAAACTAGATAAAAAAAAGAAAGTGTTTTAGATAAAAAAAGAATGTGTTTATTTTCAGAAATCCACAGTTGCTATATTTTCAGATATCTTCAAAACTGAATAATGTTTTAATCCATTTGCCAACAAAAAGAAAAAGAGGTGCAGAAAACAGCTTACTTGGGGGATACCATGGATCATGCTTGATTTGATCAGCTCAACGGTGATTTGATGCTATCTAGATTCATCCTTTTTTTTTAAGTTCAACACTGTACACATTTGCTGGACATAATGCATATATGTTGTTTTCAGCGTGACAAATACAATGAAGAAGAACCTAATGCATTTGATTTGTTCAAGGAGTTCCACTACAGCAAGAAAAAAAAATGCTACACCACTGCTGTACAATAGGCTATTGTAAGATAAGTTTCAAACTTTGCTCTTTGTAATGCTTATTTTTAATTCTCTCATCAACAACAATGTTTGCTCCTTGCTTGCTAGACTCAAATGGAAAACAAGCTGTCTACAAGTTCGATGAAGAGGACTCAATCTGAGATGGAAGCGGAAACTTAATCTTTTGCTCAGTCAAGTTCGATCAAGTTAATTCATGCATGATGCTATATCTTTTGCTACTACATGCATTTTGCTGCTATTGCTAACTTGTGTCAAGTCAATTTTTGACTAAGCTAAGCTATACATGCTTGCATTTTGCTGCCGCAGCATTCATTAAGCTCCTAGACTTGTATGCATTGCTTGGAATCTCTATTTGTTGTTGGCTTGAGCCATGGTAAACTGCAAGGTTGTATGCACTTTGAGGGCCCCTTTGATTCGCAGGATAGGAAAAACACAGGAATAGGAAAAACACAGGAATTGAAGTAGTATGATTCTTCAATCCCGCAGGAATCAAAAACATAGGAAAAAATGAAAGGTGCCCTTTGATAGTGCTATAGGAAAAATACAGGATTTCTCTTCCGGTTTGAATTTGAACAGATAGCCGTTGGCGTTCAAAGCAAGTACTAGCCGTTGCATGTCCTTATATATATTGCTGTAGCTGCAACTGGACATCAACAAAACTAGCTCACCTCACCTTCGATTGTATCGGCCAAGCATGACAAGAGCTCAAACGTGGCAATTCATTTGGTAAGTCATAAATGAATTTTTTTTCTTTTTGGTATGTATGTAAGGATTAGCAACTTATTTGCTTGCTTCTGCTCTCCTATATATATTGGTAGACCAAACCATCAGATTTATTATTTGTTGTTGATTTCCCCTGTGATTGTCATGGATCCAAGTTATCGACGACGGTCACAGAATGAAGATGAGTTCATGCTTTTTGTTCTCCCTACCATCGAAGGAGATTCGTCACAACCATCATCTAGTAGGAAACCGATGCACACATCAAAACTTTCAGGGGCTTGTCGTGTTAATGAAATCTTAACAGGTCATCAGAGCCTAAGCAAAAGGAATTTTCGCATGGAAGTTAATGTTTTTCGAGCTTTAGTCGATAAGTTGCGTGAGAAACAACTACTTGCTGATGCAAGAGATGTCTCAGTAGAAGAACAAGTTGCTATATTCTTGTATGCACTAGCAAAAAATGCAAGTAATGAGACCTTGCAAGATCAGTTTCAACACAGCGGGCAAACAATAAGCAAGTATTTTGGGGTTGTGCTTGATGCAGTTACACAACTTACATGTGTATATATACGGCCACCTTTCCTACACCCCCATCATATCTTGAGAAGACCAAAATTTCACCCCTTTTTTGAGGTATGAACAGATTCATGTTTTGATTTTTTTTTTACTTTGAGTTAAACCAATCATTGTACATAAAAAGACTTAATCAAGGTTATATTTGTATTTGTATAGAATTGTGTTGGCTCTATTGACGGGACACATGTACCAATGATACTTCCACTAGACCAGCAAGAACCATACCGGAATAGAAAGCAAACAATTTCTCAGAATGTTATGGTAGCTTGCGACTTCGATCTGAAATTTGTACATGTACATGCCGGCTGGGAGGGATCAGCTTCAGACGCAAGAGTTCTTCAAGATGCACTAAACCATGGTTTTGAAGTACCTCCTGGTAAATTTTTTCTTGTAGATGCTGGTTATGCAAATACAACACAGTTTCTAGCACCGTATCGTGGGACAAGATATCATTTAAAGGAACAGGGCAGAGCTAATCAAAAGCCACAAAATTATAAGGAGTTATTCAATCTTCGGCATGCACAACTCAAAAACCATATAGAGAGAGCAATTGGTGTATTAAAAATGAGATTTCCTATACTAAAGACCGGCTCACACCACCCAGCTCGTAAACAAGTTGATATTTCGGTTGCCTGTTGTGTTCTACACAACTTCATACGCCTGCATAATGGAGATATGGTGTGGCCAAGTAATTGTCGTTTGGAGATTGATCCAGATCATATTGTTGATGTGCCAAATGGAGACGAGAACTATAATGGTGATGTACAAGAATTTAACAACTCTAGAGAAGCTGGGAATAGAAAACGAGATGACATGGCACAACGGATGTGGAACCATTACGTAGCACGAAGGAAATAATATATTGCATTTGACCACCATGGCATTCAAGGTCAATTACTAGTCTTGTACTCCAAGTTTGTCACATTCTACTTAATGAAGTAACTACTTGCATGCACTCCCTCTAAGCAAAAGTATATCCTACTACTATCTGCTTCACAAAAGTACCCCCTTTGTTTCACAAAAGTACTATCCTTCTATTTGCATGCCATCTATTTCACAAAAGTACTATCCTACTACTTGCATGCCATATGTTTCACAAAAGTACTCACTCTAATGCTGCGATTTCCTTTCTAATCCAAGCCAGGCGTAATGCATCACTTGAAAAGGACAAGAAAACTTCCCTATTATCCTTACCTTTGAAGATATCAGCTGCCACCAATATATCTCCTATTTGTAGACCATGTAAACCTTCAAGCACTGTGATACACTTGTTGATGCTGTAAGGATCCTCCAATTTCTTCTCCTCAATTGCAGCAAATCGATCTATGTCTTCTTTTTTAAGTTTTAGGTATCTCTCATGAAATCCATCATCAGGACTAACAGATTTGATCTTTTGTTTCTTCCCAGGTCGAGATTCAGGAACCTCTGAAGGTGTTTGTGCCGAGCTAGGTGGGACTTTTGTGAGATGGACAGGGGTAGGTGAATGCTGTGAAAAGTCCAAATTGGCTGTCTCAACCTCTTCACCAAAAGGAAATTGCAAACCTGATTCACCTGGAGCATTTGAATTAGGGGATGGTGACTGATATGTATCAACCGCATTTGCTTCTTGTGTTGAATGAGCTGGTGCATTCTTTGTCTTCCTTGCATAATGGTCCATACCATGGCGAGTTCTCCCTTCAGCATAACGACCTGCACAATTATATTCTCCTCACGATCAGCATAACTTGCCTAAAACATTTCAACAAAACAAACAAACCACTGATAAAAAAAATATAAAGCTCACCATCATAAAGTGGAGCTAAATCATCAAAATATGGGAACGACTTATCTCGCCAATGAATTGCATCTTTGTTCTTGCGATCAGCAAAAGTGTCCCAAACACTTTGTGGTGCACTCACCATCATTCTGTCACTATCCCACCCAAAACCACTTTGATCCAACAAATCTTTAACACTGCGATAATCTTTCTTCAAATCCTGCTCCTTTTGCTTGACTTGGTTGGTCGTAAATGATGTACCGAATTTTGTATTCAGGCGGCAAACAATATTTGTCCATGCTTCCTTACTCCAAGCATTTTGTGTTCGAAAACCTGGCACGTCATGATCTGTTAGGAGCTCAATAAGGAACATCTTCATCTGGTGACTCCATCTGGCTCTCTTTGCCGTCCCTAAATTTGACAAACATTTAACAATTTCAGTTTCAGCAGCAATATGAAACAAAAAAGGTTTGATGCAAACAACAAGTGAAACTGAATTTGCAAATATTACCTATTTCTTGACGCTCTGCAGTCCCATGCTCACTGTCAACATCAACATAAACCTGTGATAGAGGTTGCTGGGCTCGTCGATCGGACAAATTGCGTTGATTTGTCATGGTCATCTGAGAAGAGCCTTTCGATGGCATTGCTTTCCTAACCCCCCAAAAAAAAGAAAGAAAAAAGAAATACACAATCCTTATCAGAGAGGGATTTACACCTACAGTGCCAATGAAACAAACTAGTTCCAAGTAGTCAGCTTAAAAATTCACTAATCCATAGATCCAAAGTACAGAAGCACTAATAAGTCAATAATAAGTCAAGTATGAAAGCTCAAAAGTGCAGACAAATACCAAATCGATGGCCCTGGCTGCTGCCCTCGATGGCGGACCTGCCGCACGCCTCCGCCTAGCGGAGCCCAACCTGCGCGCCAGATGGATGCTGTGCTTGGTTGCTGCGTGCTGCTAGTTGTTGGGCCGGCGTCCCCAGCGGAAGCCGCATACACGACTGAGCCGGCGAGCCTCGCCTCCGCCTTGCACCCCCAGCGGCCGGCTCAAGCTGCTGTCTATCTCTATCACAGTTGGCTTTCTTGGCTGCTAATATGTGGTCCTCGGTGTTCTCGTTCCCATCTTTCTCTCTCTCTCTCTTTTTTTCTGGAAGAAGCGCGAAGGGCCACGGTTTACCGCCAAACACACAAAAGTGGCGCCAACGACGACGTGCGCACGCGTGGGCGCGCCCTTCTTTCGCGCCAGGAAAGTTTCCAAAGAGGTCAGACCTCTTTCTTATTTTCCTGTGAAAATGAACTAAAGGAATGCAATCCTAAGGAACGTTTCCTTTCATTTCCTATGAATCAAAGACATACTATGGAAAAAATCCATAGGATTGTAAATCCTACAAAAGTCCTATGCCAATCCTTTGAATCAAAGGAGCCCTGAATGTTGTAATCTGATGTTGGATGAAAAATCATGTGATATGATATTGAATGGAAAAATGATATTTCTATTTGATTTGCTGCTGCAACTATTAGTTGCATGGGCTGTGTATATGGGCTTTAGTTATGAAATTAAGCTGTATATATGGGCTGTAAGCGATGTAGTAGTGGGCTGAAAAGGGCACCAAAAAATGGTGACAAAATTGGGCTGCAAAGCTGCTGAAATGGGTTGTAAAGCTATTGAAAATGGGCTGCCAAAATGGCTGAAAAGGAGCTGCGAAAATGGATGGAATTGGGCTAAAAATTGGCCCATCTTTGATTTTGGCCTGTTAATAAATAGGTTGAGGTAGTGTCTACGTCATCATCCACGTAAGCAACCATGTAAGCATCCATGATGATGTGGCATTCAATCCGTGACGGTTATTTTTCGTCATAGGAAATGAACTTGGGCTGGGCTAACTAGGCCTCGGGCTCTATCGTGATGGTTTAAAACCGTCAGCGATTCCATTAATCCGTGATGGTTTTTGGTAAACCGTCACAGAGGTTAATCCATGACGCTCAATCCGTGACCATCTCTGAAACCATCACAGGTGCTGCATAGTGACGGTTTTTTGATGATCCGTGACGGAAATTTTTCATCATGCATTAACAGATTCCTTGTAGTGTGCCTGCCTTCCTACGAGCCAAAAACCAAACCCCGACTCAATCTCGGTATCCGCTTCCTCCTGCTACAAGCCGCAGCCTATGCCTCCTCTGAGTCGTCGCCGCCGCCTGCATCAGACACCGAAGCCGAAACTTCCACCGCTCGGATTAGAGAAACTTCTTCGCTAGAGTCCATAGCTACTCCTCCACGATGGAGCCCACTGCCACCTCTCCCTGCTTAAGTCGACGTCTCCGCACCGTATCCGTCTTGGTTCTGCTCTTGGAAACCACACCTATGCATGTGTAGATGTGCACAAGTCATGCCTCCATACACGACGTCCATGCCCCTGCACGCACCGCAGTCGCAGCCCTCGTATTCACCGTCCACGACCCCGTCGTCATCGGCCCTGCACGTCCGCCGCGCCGCGCCATGCTCGCCAGCTTCGCCCTTCCGTCAGTGGCCTCCCTGCCGCCGCGGATCCGCGTTCGCCACGTGCGTCGGGCGCGCCGTCCATGGCGCTACCCCTCCGATCTCTCCGAACGCCTTCGGCCACGCCCGGCCTCGTCTTCCGGTCACGCTCCGCCATCGTCAGTCTGATCGCGAGTGAGGTCGTCGCCTCCGCAACGTCCTCGTTGTCGCCATCGATCTCATCGCCACGACTGACGATCTCCTATCGATGCGCGATCCCACCTCGTGTTTCCTTCTCCACATGTCTTCTTGATCCAATGCTGAAACCTTCTGCTCTGATACCACTTGTTATAAAAGTTAGTCAATATAGCGGAAAGACGACTAACCCTCCCGATCGCTTCAGTCATTGATTACTCAAGACATGCCAGATGACGACACAGGAACACACGATATTTGTTAACGAGGTTCAGCCGAAGCCTACATCCCCGGGGCTCTAATTATGGGCGCTTCTCCCCAACCAATATAGTTCCTAGCCGCTACGAGTCCATGGCCACGCCGCCATCCTCTCCCTGCGTGTGTATGCTACATTGTAGTCGCCATGGTTATATTGTGGTGTCCCCCTCTCTATTTAAGAGAGTTGCCGGGTTACAGAGTCCGACTCTAACTCCACCCCCTAACACCTATTACAACTCTAAGTCCAACTGTAACCAAATAACCAAATAGGAATAGTATATTCGACACCTATTCTAACAATTATTTATATGACTATACATACAAGTCAAATGTCTTGATAAATAAGCTTAATAATTAGTTTAAAACATTAAATAAACACACATATTTTAAAAGACGTGAAGCAGATAATTCATGGTGATAAAGAATGTTCGGCGTGAGCGGAAACAGACATGGGATAATAAATGCTGCTATCTAATTTCAAAAAAAAAATTAATGTTTTCATTAGATTAGCAATATGCGTGAAAAATTTTCCCACCACTGCAGGGCGCGACGGTGAGCCCGACAGTTGCACTCCCACGTTCAATAATCCAGGATCAGAGGACCTTGGGTTAGTTATCCAATCCTAGCTAAAATGTCTCATTTTAATTAATACACCAACTAATAATTAGATAATTATTACTCCATCCATCTAAAATATAAGTATTTTTAGCATAGTGATAAATCAAACATTTTTAACTTTAATTATTAATAGCAAAAAAATAAAAAATATCAATCATGTAAAATTGATATTAATATATTTATCATTAAACAATTTATCGTAATTTTATTTAAAACATCTCACTTTTATAAATATTATTGATCAAAATAGCATCACGAAAACCATATCAGAGTCTAAAAATACTTATATTTTAGGATAGAGGGAGTGCTATGTATTGAATCCCTATAATTTTTCTTTTATGTTCGCCTGACCAGAGCCCGGCCGGTTGATCGATTGGCCGTCGGCATTCTGCGTTTCTTTCTCTTCTCGTGTTCCGACTTCCGGCTGTGAACCAAGAGTAGCCGACGGCTCCGCGCGTGGTCGCAGCTGCCTCCTTTCGACGATTGGCTCGATTGCGCCATGTGACTGGTCATAAGGCCGTAATATCAAATTTTAGTTATTTATAAATTATATATATTTTTATATGGACTCTAGACTCGTCTTTTAATATATTTTTTTATTCTGAATTTTTTGTAAATTGTATTTCTATATAAACTCTATGCTCTTCTTCCACTATTATTTATTTTTATTTCTGAATTTTTATTATTTCTAATTGTATTTCTATATAGACTCTAAACTCATCTTTCAATATTCTTTAATTATTAATGAATTTTAGTTACTTCTAAATTGTATCCCTATATTGACTTTAAACTTTTCTTCCCATGTTTTTCTTAATTTTAAATTTTAGTTATTTGTAAATTATATTTTTATACGGACTCTAAACTTTACTTTTAATTTTATTATGCTTATTCCAAATTTTAGTTAGTTTTAAATTCCTATATGGACTCTACACTCTACTTCTAATATTCCTTATTTTTTTAATTCCGAATTTCTATTGTTTTCTTAATTGTATTTCTATATAGAATATATACTCTACTTCTAATATTCCTTATTTTTAATTCCAAGTTTCTATTATTTTCTAATTGTATTTCTATATGGACTCTATACTCTACTTCTAATATTCCTTATTTTTAATTCCGAATTTCAGTTATTTTCTAATTGTATTTCTATATGGACTCTAGTCTCCTCTTCGAATATTCCTTATTTTTTAATTCCGAATTTCAATTATTTCTAAATTGTATTTCTATATGGACTCTAGTCTCCTATTATAATATTCCTTATTTTTTAATTCCGAATTTCAGCTATTTCTAAATTGTATTTCTATATGGACTCTGCTTTTTCTTTTTCTCCGATTAATGTGAGAATGTCTAGGCCATGAGAGCGAACGTGGAGGCTCCTTTTTCTATTCCTTTAATAATATAATAGATAGATTGCACATAATCTGAGTTCTCAATTTTTTGATCCAATGGTCCAAATCAATTGCCACTAGGGGTGAGCAAAATAAGACCGGGCCGAAGAACCGAACTGAAAAGACCGATACCGAGACTGAAAAGACCGAGACCGAAACGACCAAGACCGAGAAATTCGGTTAGTAATTCGGTCTTGGCCGTTGAAAGACCGAAATTTATTTGGGCAATTCGGTTATTGGTCTCGGTTAACCGAATTAACCGAGAAAACCGAATTGTGGCCTAATAGATCTAGGAGGCACGATAAGCCCAATAAACTACTAAACCCTAAAGGGAACCACTGACACTCCCTCCTCTCCCACCAGCCTCACGCAGCGCCGCCACCAATCCCCTCGCGCTCGGCGCTCGCGCCGTGCGGTCACGCTGCCTCCGCCTCCACCCTCCATCTCCATCACGCCGGCGCCGTCTCCGCCTTCCGCCTCATCGCGCCGGCGCCGCCTCCGCTCTCCGCCCTCCGCGCGCCGCCTCTGCCGGTCGTCGTTGACCTCCACCGTGCCGGCACCGCCTCTGCCCTCCGCCTCCACCTCCGCCGGTCGTCGTCGACCTCGACCGCGCAGGCGCTGCCTCCGCCCTCCGCCGGTCGTCCTCGACCTCCATCGCGCCGGCGCCGCCTTCGTCGCCCGCCTCCGCCCTCCGCCGGTCCGCCCTCCACCTCTGCCTCAATGCCGCCATCACACCGCCTCCGTCTCCAGCTAGCCCTCTGTGAAAGTTCGGTCAGACCGAGACCGAAACCAAAAAAACCGAAACTGAATTTGTCGGTCTTGAGTTTTTTGGGAAGAAATTCGGTCCTCACTTTTCAAAGACCGAAATAACCGAAAGACCGAAGACCGAGACCGAATTTTTTGGTCAGACCGAACACCCACCCCTAATTGCCACGGTAAATCGAAACTTTACTGTGCCACAATAAATCGCTGCAGTGTTTTGCTACTGTGTTTAGATACATCTAGATCACGCCCGTTTTAGATCCGATGGTG